GTCCGGAATGGATCTATGGAGATGATGATGCTGCGGCTGCAATGGGAGAAGATGCGAGACGCATTTTTCTTCGCGCAGATCCCTTTGATCTAACCGAGCCAGCTCTGGGGAACTTCTCACTCTGCGGCATCTTGACAGTCCTCGTGGGCGGACCTCCCACAACTGGCATCATCGTGGCCAGCTTCGGCAACCGGGGGCCGTGGGTGCGGAAGAAGCTCAAGGCCTACGGGGAGAAGCCGATTGTTAGGGTTCAACGATCGTCACGTCTATTAACTAAGCTTCTTCTCAAAGTGAATATTGTCTTTTTTTTTTCTGGTGCTGCAGACAATGTCGTTTTCAGGGAGGGTTTATTTGGACCGAGGCTACTGGGAGCTGTATATCGGCATCGTTAGTGATGACATTGTTATTGCAACAGAGCCCTAGATAGCTCGGACGAAAAGCCGGACTAAGAGTGTTCGTCATTTAAAATCAAACAGAGGAAGTTCGCTTTTCTGAGCGAATTGGGTTTAATGAGGTATTCAGCACTGTGTTTTTTTTACGTGTACTACGCACCAAAGGGTCTGGGATATTCGGGTTAGTACATACGTTGACATGTATGTACAATATGTACATATAGCCACTTGACATCGTGCGTCCAGCCAATTGGCCACCTAAGACGTCTGGTCGGTAGCGGCCGTGCGGACCGCCGAGTCCGTTGCTGACGGCATTCGCCGGTGGTGGTGGGTCGATGCCCTGGCGAAATCGGGGAATGACTCGGAAGTCGCCCGATACACGCTAGGTTTCCTAGCGCCTCACTTACGTCGTCCGGGGCCCTACCATAGAGAGATTCCTGGCCGAGGTGTCAATTTTGGCAGACGGTAAGGAAGTTTGTGGCCGACATCGCGCAGAGGTTCATTGATTCAAGCTGATCTGGAGACTCCTACATGTCTTGAGGAAGTGATTGCGCACCATGAGAGGCGAATTGAAGCAGAGAACTAGCCGCTGATCTATGCCGTAGGAACAGGGGGAGACTCGCCAACAGCCATGACCCCTGGTTGAAACATAAAAGCTCGGGCCCAAACCACACTGCCGGCAACTGGCGTTCGGCTGTCCTTGGGATCACTCGGTCGCGCTTGGACGTGCTTCATCAGGTTGACACAGGGTTAGTTGCTTCATAGGATTCAGCCTCGCTAACGAATGGCTATATTCTCATCGAGTGAGCACGTTATTCCATTCCATTGTATTCCGGACATGACTGAGTAGTGAGCTATAGTTTCTGTCGCACGGTATATGAGGGGTCTAGGCACATAAAACTATTATGCTTTTGTGTGACAGTTTCATGTTAAGAAAGTGGACATGGGGGCAAATCCTGCACCATCTGACAAAATCTCCACAGCAGAGACGCTGAGATGTATTCCCATGTCGAGTCGATCAAGGTGCTTGATGTAAGAAAGGCGTTGTTGAGTGCAGAAGTAAGGTACAATTGCTCGGTTGGTAGTGTACCTATGTATGACAAGGATGTCAAACAGAAATCTGACGCCATGTCATAAGGTCACCATGTACATAAAATCACATCGCCACTCGTTACTTGACTGGTGTCAGGAATTAGACGCCTCCAGTGGTGTGGGCACATTCAGGGCCATCTGCGCATCCTTCAGGACGTCCATGCGTAGGATAGTCTAAACACCCAATTCTTTGACGAGCTTGCTCAACGGACCATCGCTCTGAGAGAGCTTCACGTTTCTAGGGAAAAGAGACTGCGCTGCCAGGAATGCTGCTGGTACCATTCGCCGTCGAGATTGTTGATCGCATTATTGATCAACATGGTGGTTTGCGACGGGATGGTCCTGAGGGCCGGAAGGGGTATGTCCAGTGTAAGACCTGTGTCCCATCGGTCGCGATAATATCGGCCTTGATGCCGTCACCGTCCATGTCCAGGTTGATGTTGGCTAGCCATTTGGTAATTTGGTAACCGTATACACCTCGTACTCGGACAATCTCGGTATCGACAGGCAGAGACAACACGTATCCGTAGGTCCGATTCCATATGGAGCTGAATGGTTGAGTTGTACTGTAACTATCTTGGCCGGGCTGACGGACGATGGAGATGGAGACCTCATTGTACGGATCATTATCGCAGACGAGGTACGAGTAAAATGTGAACGCGACTAAAACACGATTGGGCAACGCCGCGGTGGACTCCAAGAGCGACGGGAGCTTAGACGTCAAGCAGTCGAGAGGCGCGAGGAAGAGGAATTAGCCGCTTTCAGTGCGTCACTAAAAGTTGGGAGAGTATATCTGACCGACCCTCAAATCGACAAGCCTCTTCTGAATCTGGGGAAAGAAGTCAATCTTAGTCCCGACAGTTGGATCACGGGCTGCTTCATCCAGTTTCGGGTTCATACGGTAACGGTCGTAGTAACTACCTTGAGGTACGTCAACCTTCGGACCTCCAAACTCGACTTGGACGCTCGGACCTTTTAAACGCCGATTTTACAGAGAGTCAGCAACGGCCAGGCTGAAAAGTAGACACGAAAGTCACATATAGGGCGCAGGCCTTTGATGATGCCCCTGAAGACATGTTCGTGGCGGAGACCAGGATCAGTTGGCCTCGGTAGTCGCAAGACAATTACGGGGGTTGTACTGGTCCCTTAGACCGACGTCGACGACTCTTGAACAGCTCAGGCGATGGTTCCCAAGGGTGTTGTGTCTGAAGTTGCCATGATGACGAGATGGAGTGAAAGTAGGCGCAAGTCGCGTCAACTCGGGACGGTTGTGAACAGAGCGCCAGTCCCCTTATGCTCGTAGGGCATCTGACAACAAGAAAATCGGGCCAATTAAAAACTTCAATCCTTGCATATTTTCCGGGATTCTGGTGGTCATAAAGGCAAATTGTCAACGGACCCAATGGAGTATAGGTAGGGAACATCAGGGATTCTGGATTCGAATCTTCCAGATCGTTAGAACATGTCGTACAGCCAGTCAAGGATTGAAAATTTAATCCCGAATATTGCCGCCATCGAGCTCCATCCGGGATGACGCTACGGGAACAGACGATCAACGGCAAAATGGTTTTAGCTCGACGCGGACTTGCCGGTTAGTGACCGAATGTGGCCCACACTCATAAAATCTGGGCATGGCGGACAAATTGCACCAAACTATAAAGGGTCAACGGTGGCTGATTTTTTGGGGCCAGCACATTGGACTCATTGCGCAGTTCCAAGGCACGCATTGCAGGAGTGGGAGAATAAAGTAACTCTTGTTACTAGCGGCTCCGGATTCATTGGCGCCCACGTTATTGTTGACGCTCTCAAGAGACGCTACCATGTGTGAGCTATTATGAAGCCAACTGGTTTCTAGACCGCTTTCATGGTGCGAGAAAAGATTCGCAATAGCGGGAGATTAGCGGCGCAGGAAAATGGTGTGGAATTTCTCGAAGCTTAGCTTGTTAGCAGTAAGAGCTAAGACGGTGTATGAGAGCTATACCTTTATCCTTTATGTTATTTACTTGTAGCGCACGCCTTTTTTACGCTTCGCGCTTATTTTGTATCGAATTATTTGTTATTTGGTAAAAAGGGTCACTCTGGTACTAGCATCACACCCCAAGCCCCGAGTGAAACCATGGAAATGGCGTGGCGTCGGCCTAACGCGGCTCGTGCTATTTCCACACTATTCCCGCCTTTCCCAGCACGGGATATCCTTGTGCCGTAACCTACTCGAGTCATGGGAGTGGGCGGGAAACGCTTCACTGCTGAAGAGGACTGCATCGCCCGATTTCAACGCCATCTACGTACTTCACCGGCGGGCATGCAGGAATGTGCGACTTCCCCGACAGCGAGGGTCTGCAGCGCATCAGCCGAGAAATCTTGGAACGGAGTGGCCGTCGTCGCCATCCTCGGCCAGTGGATGGTACATTAATAAGCTCGCTCTGAAACCCCTTCCGCCATCCGGAGCAATATAATTCATGGCCAAGGTCGCAGACGTGTATCAGATGGCACTTGAGACAGCACTTTATAGATGGCTCAGAAGGGGCAGAACACTATCTCTCTATACTACGTTTCCGAGGATCCAGCCCCGAGAGTCCCTATGTAGGGCTATTCTTTGGAAGAAAGTATGGCGCCTTCAATTTCCCAGGTAGTAGTGGTTAACGCCAGGGGCAAGTTATTGCCGACGTATCAAAATGGAAGCCCCAAGCTGGACGGCAAGTTAAAATAAACAACACATGAGGAATCATTGGAAAAGGTGCACGGCCACGGCCCATGAATCATGTGCATTATTGCTATATATTGCCCTACTGGAGGCATCTCCGCCGAGCGCAATATAAATTGTGTGTACGAGATCCAATTAGGGACATGATAATTATTATTCGGCACAGACTATTCCTCCTTCGGATGGACCACGTGGGTGCCAAGCTTGATCTGGCGTGACAAAGGCGACGTTGCATAATGCCCTGATACAAGCGCACTCTCGGTTCTCTCCACAGAGGTATGTATAAATTACGTGCACGCATAAATATAGAATGAGACGCGTAAAACAAAAACAAAAACTGACTCAGGGAGGCTCTGTCAAAGGGTTGTGGTGAAATACTAGCAGTGACCTATCCATAGGGCAGTGCTTGGGCGGGTTTTATTGTTCCATTGTTTTTTTTCCTTCTCTTTCTTGCCCAATTTATGCGCATAGAACAGAGCAGGATGGGAATTTCAGCGCTCCCGGCTATTTTCCGCTCGCCAGGCAAGTGGAGTGATGGATATGAATTATACCATGCAACGTGCCGTGGCTCTAGAAGCTGACGACGCGAGCTCTGCATTGAACGGTACCGCAGCAAGGATTGAGACGAGCTACAACGTGTTATAAAGTTTGAGCGGCCTCTTCACTTGTGTGGGATACCTCTCTATTTAGTCTCATACTCAGTGTTGTTGTCACCTTTACTTCCTCAAGTGTTCAATATCGAATCACCCACGCTCGCTACAAGTTTAGTTCACTTTTTGGTTTCACTTTTTTTTTCCTAATAAGTATTAAATATGAAGTCTCTCATCACGGCCATTGGCGCCGCCACGCTCGCGAGCAGCGTGGCGGCCCAAGTAGCCGGCAAACCGGCGGTTCTGGATCCCGCAAAGGACATCATTCCCATTATTCCATCGGATGCCCTGAAGAACGTGGAGGGAGACTGGAAATATGACGCCTGTCACAAGATTGACACTTCAGTCTCCGGTGGTTTCATCTGGCCTTGTGCCTCACAGCTCAAGATTCTCGTGGAATCTTGCCCTACGTCTGCCAGCTCCGCCGAGCAGCGCAAGGCCCAGCGAGACTGCGTCTGCGGCAAGGGCAGCTCATTCTTGCGAGACGCCGTTGCCTGTTCCGAATGCAAGATGCAGAATGGTCTGCAGCCAGACAATCAGCGCGACTTCTGGAAAGAGTACTACGCAGCCCTGGATAAGGAGTACTGCCAGCCCGAACAGGTCGCTGTCGACTACAACGAGTTCGCCAGACAGTTGACTGAGAGGAAGTCACCACCAGCCGGAGTCATTACTGGTAACCCCCTGGATGGCAAGATCGCCGACCCTAGGGAATACTACAGATTGGCTGGCGTTGACGTCCCGGAGAAGCAGGGCCCGGGCAAATCTACGCCTGCTGTCCCCCAGCCTGGCGCCAACAACAACACCGTCAAGGCCAACACCACCATCGTCAATGACCCCGTGGCCGGACAGGTTGTCGTTCCCGCCTTTATTGCCGTCGAGGTCAACAACAAGACCTCTGGGGCCAACACCGCCTCCGTTACGCCGACGCCTTCTGCTGCCGGCTCGCAGCCCACCACCTTGATGCGTGTCACATCTTGGAATTCTACTGCAAAAGCCACTGCCTCTTCTCTGTCACCCTCGAGCTCGCTGGTCCCTGCCTCTGGCCCTAACAGTGGCGCTAACCTCGCGCATGTCATTTTGATCAACGGCAAGCTTTGCCACGTCTACATTATCTGGGTCACCATTGATTGCTCCCCCAAGAAGGACGCCCAGGGAAAGCTTTATATCGAATACAAAAACACCGGAATCGACAACAACAAGCCCATATCCATGCTAGAGGACAAGGAGCAGTTCGACAAGATCAAGGACACCATGCACGATGCCAGCAAGGACAAGAACTGTGCAAAGCAGTTGAAGGAAATCGTCGGTACCGAAGCCAAGGTCGTTACGTCTCCTGGAAATAACAAGCCGCTTCCCCCCCCTGAGAAGCCGACCGCTGGGGAGTCCAAGGGGTCTAATGTCAACGCCGGACCTGACACTTCTGACAAGCCTGTTACCGGTACCAAGCCTGCTGCTGGCAATAACACTCCCGGCGTCTCGAGTAACGATGATGATTGCGTTGACGAAGCTGTCCCCAGCGGTGCCAACACTCCCGGTAACGGTTCTACCAATGTCCCCAGCACCCAGAACACCCAGAGTCCTCCCAGCGGTGGCGCCGAGACCCTTGTTCCTGGCCCTAACGGCACCAAGACGACTCCTAATTCTCCTGCCCAGAACTCCGCTAGCACTCCCGGTGACCAGGCTGGCAGCAATACTCCCGTCAACTCTGGTAGCCAGCCTGAAACCAAGGATTGTGACTGCCCCCCTGGCAGCAAGACCCCTGAGCGCAAGGATGCAACCGAGATCTGCGCCAAGAAGGTGAAGACCGAGACAGACTGCAAGAAGGAGTCTGGAGAGAATATGCGAAAGTGCTTGTGCTCCGAGGGAAGCTTCAAGGACCAGCGATTTTTCGATGAGGCAATCATTTGCTCACGACGATCTGCCGACTGTCTTTGGGGAGAGTATGGGGCCCAAGTGTTCTTCCAGACCAAGTATCTCTACTGTGATCTGAAGTTGTTTGGAGACGACTTCGCCGCGGCGTACAAGAACGTGTCAGATTCTTGGACAGCAAGAGCCCCGAGCGCCTCTCTCATGTAAATTGGCCTCATCTTGTAATATTCAAACTGTCTGGACGCTCCGGCCAGTGGCAGAATAAGCATTGATGGGCTGATGGATGCGCAGAAGTCCTCTTGCATGACATATTTAAGAATCATCATCTCACGTCTACAACACTATAGTTGCTCGTCGTGATAGTTTCCTTCTACTCTTAGTATATACTTAGTAATTATCTTGTACTTCATGCCCTTAGACAATAAAAAGACTCACATCTGTGCACACTAATACAAGCTATAATACTATTACAAGTTGGAACGGCGTCGTTCCCGCGTTTGGCTAATCGCTCGTCGTCCAATCTGTCAAATCGGGGCCTGTTCCCAGGCGAATGATTAACAAGTCCCATAAGACACAACTTTTCATTCCATTGGTCGAGTTGAGCTCGTTACTTTTGGAAAGAGGAAGCTACCTGAGGCGACAAAGACAGAAAGCAAGCCCATACTATTACATATCCGCTGGGGAAATTGAGTCAGATATGGCAATACTATGCCTATGATATACTATATGGGACGTGTTCGGAGTCGGGCGCCGTCCGTGTCCGTTGGAGACCACTAGTCTTTTAGCTGCGTGCATCTACTATCTGCTTCAAAAAGCCTATTTCACTACGGAGACTTGGCACAACATGGTTCGTCGCTTTTCTACTGCAGTGAGATAACAATGACATCTACAACACCATTGACTTATCCATATGCTTTTATCCAAGAGGCATAAGGGCTCCAGTTCCAGCTCCACTACCAAGAGTGGTGCCCAAAGATGGTCGCATTATCGCGGAGCCTGCTAGCCCTCAGGATGTAGGAGGCTACGCTCTGCTCGATGCATCTAAAACCATTCTACGCTGCTAAATATGTGCATAGGCCAGCATTTTTTCCATGTGCACGTTAGCAACTTACACTTCTGAGAAGTACCTTAAGTATCCTCAAGAGGTTTACCCCGAATGTTTCACTGGCGATGTATTGGAGAGTGTTCACCCCTTGAGCATTGGACCAAGAGGCTGTGTTGCCACGTGGTAAATTCTTTGTCTTTTTTTAGATGCTGTGAGGTTGGGTCATCTCAAAAGATTGAACTGTATGGCCAAGCTCCCCCGCAGATGCGAGCTGTGGCTGCTAAAATTGTTTTCCGCTTCGACCTGGCACTGGCCAGGGATAGTGGGAATTGGGTCAACTACCGAAGAATGTACATATTCTGGGATAGGCCCTCTTTGAATGTGTGCCTGAAACACACTCATACGCCGTCTTCTTATCAGGGAGAACCGTGTCTACGGGTAAAAGAAGCTAACTGGTCTAGAAGGTAAGTACTCGAAGGAGTGGTGTATGACTATGTATGTAATCAGATTTCTTTGTACGTAGAACTATTTCCAGAGCCGGGAGGTTCAAGAAAGTGTATTGCGAATAGCAAGAAACATGTATATGAAAGGATAGCCTATTCATCCAATGGTAAAATTCCTACTACTTTTCAAGTGCTGTTGATAGCATCCACAGAATATTTACTCACCCCCTGGCATGGTCCTTTCGCTACCCGTCCAGGCCTTTTAGCCTGTGGTCCTGATTTTCCAGACTTATATAATCTCCTGGTCCATGGTGTGGCAAAAAGCCCCTACATGGCAGTCATATTTCTTTTTAGAAAAAAATCGAGTAGTATTATTTTATCGCTCACGGGGCTGTTTCTCAATTGTAACGTGGAACCAATCTAGCGTCCAAAGTGCTCCCCAGGCTCTAAAATACACATCCATAGGCCCCTCATGGTGGTAATCATGCATGATTGCTGCCTCGGAGAAGAAGTGATATCCACCATGTATTATAGTTGACGACAATAGCGTGCCGGCAGTGAATTGACACCACATGTGCCCGGAGCAACATAGGCGGCAGGATAACCGGCAATTTGTCAACTGCCATGTCCTCGAGTGGGTACGCATACTTTAATGCGAGAGCGACTGGTGTAGAGAACTCGTGGTGTACTTTGTCGAAAGGCCTGGAGAGCGGGCGCAAGTGAAAAAGGCAATGAGCACAGTAGAACATGATCTCGCGGATAACAAAGCTGTGGAGCAATTCTAACGTAAAGACAGTTGGTGAATGAAGTTGCATGGCGACTCTGACATTGAGAAGAATGACTTCCGCAGCCATGTACCGCACTCCAAGATATACCGAAGTACTAAGAACGTCATTGCTCGTTGCGATGGTGACAGCATGAGGATATCGCCTGATGTCTGAGGGTTTGCTTTTGGTCGCGGCTTAGTCCCCATAGCGAAAGATTACACAATATAGGGAAGGGAACAGAAAGCGACGTAGGGAATTGACCAGAATAATTGGGCGATAACTGAAAGACCAATAAACCGGATAGCCCAGGAGTCATTTAGAGCGACTATATGCTCTTAGAAGGCCACTATTGCCATTTTAATAGGAGAATATTGAGTTGGCATCATACAAGTATTACATAGAGTACTTGTATGATGCTTGCATGGTACTTGTACTATTATCTGTATTAAAAAAACAAAGAACCCTCCGCAATGAGGATAAACTAGCTCACAGTGTCCATTCTGTAGCTAGCTCCACGGTGGACTTTTTCAGTTTCACCAATCGGCTAGTGTCTCTGACGCATCGCGATGCGTTCATGGTGTCTTTCGTGGTTAGTTACGGTTCCCTGGCCTAGTTACGGCTAAAATACAGTGCTACTAGATGCCCTCTATTAAGCCCCATTTTTTGATTTTTTCAAATAAGTTAATTAAAAAAAGAAAAAGGATATTAAGTTAGCCGCATACAAAACTTGGATAAGTTTAAAGCTTAAAAGTGATATTGGCATCGCTTTTGTATCTGCTGAAGCCAGTCAGAGCCTCAGCCTACTCAGAGCCTAGAGGTAAGTTGTAACTATCCGCATCTCGCAAGGAGCTCAACTTCTGCGACATGGAAAGTCAAGTATCATGTCTGAAAGGAAGTAAACAGCGCAAATTGGACGCTATACGAGACAGACAACTTGAAACAAGGGAATAATACCGTCCTTTAAGTTAGGCTGTATACCCCCAACTACATGGTCCAATTTATAGGTTACAAGCAAACCTAGGCGGCAGAGAGTAAAACTATAAATAACTCCCATAGAAGAATATTCTAAAGAGAAGCCTTTAACTACCTATACTATTTTAAGGTGGAATATAGCGCTTCGAGTATAAGGCCAGATTAGCATTACACAATACAAGGGACATGGCTTTAAAAGTATCAAGCAAGTTAATAGCGACCTTGAAACTTATAGTATAGCCTTAAATAGGGTTAGTTATTTGGTAACCGGGCGTACCTTTCTCGTAAATTTATTATAATTGCTACTCACTTGAGTAATAATACGCTATAAGATAGTGTATAGCTTTTTAAGTTAAACTTTTATGTATATATCTTATAATATAAAGAAACTATTTATTACAGCGCGCGCCGGCGAAGGCTATCGCGAGATAGCCTCAGCCACTAACTACGTGGAGCAAAAATCCACCGCAGAGTAGCCAAAAAGTGAACACTGTGAGCTAGTTTATCCTCATTACGGAGGGTAGTATGATTTTTATAAATTAACTTTCTTATGAACACCAAAGCTTACCCTATTTCAATGTTATTTCTCAACAGCAGCAAATGCCTTAGCTTCACCAGCCATCGAAAGCTACGACCTGCATATGGAGCCCATCTAAAGGCTTTACCACAAGGCTCTGTTCTATACGAGCCAGAAGTTTCTGTCGTCTAATAACGCTAAATTCTTCGGCTCAAAGGAAAACCTCCTTATTGATGCAACTACTAGAGAGGCAAGCTCTAATCTGCTAAAGGCGCTTGCGATGCAGCTGTTTAATGTTTGGACCATGAAGGAATGTCATGTAGGCATAGTTACTTATTGCTTCACAGTGGTAAAATTATTACAGCTGATTCCGCCGTGTCGGGTCAGCTAGCGTTCGGGTTGGAATTCGTACGAGTCGTCCACCCCAGCGTTGCGGGTCAGTACTCGTGGCCCATGGGAATAGAGATAATACCAGTGCATCTTTTTGGGATATATTGGCCGTGAAGCATAACGTCATGATTGGCGACGACAGGGGTTGGACAACAGAGCACTTTGAACGTAATGCCTCGCTGCACACCGCATCAGATGTTACCTCCTCGCCACTATATCCGAACGGTAAGTTTGTCCGAATCTCTTTTCTCAGCTTCAATTGCATTACAGGGAGTTTTGCCATCAATTATGTAGACCGGGTGATTGGCGATGATACCTTCTTATATCTGGCGACTAGGAAATTCATGATGTGATCAACCGTAGTACCATTAGGGAGGAGACTGCTCGCAAACGCAACCGTAATTATGTCTATTCCTACATATCTACTGCTGTTAATTAATTGTTTTTTCCCCCTCTCGACCCAGTGGCGAGAGAGATGTTTTTTGGAAGTGTGCTGACGCTTTTGCCACTGTCGCTGTAAAGGTAGACGCTTTATGATTATTTTCAGAAAAACGCATGAGCAGCTATTAGAAATACGTCCATTGGGGATGGTTAAAGACGTTTCAGAGACTTTCAGAGAGGGTACTCCTCGTCCCTAATAAATCCAAAGTCGATGTCAACACCAGCTACTCCCATTATGTCGAGCGTACAACGGGATGCCCAAGTCAGAATGTTTTCCGCACGACCATCTTTATTACAGTCTGATATCATGGCTTGTACCGTTTCCCACGACTTGGTCCAAAAGAAAGAATAAAGACTCTTAATATGCCGGAAAGAGAATGCTGGCCGTGTCATATGCCTTAGCTTTTTATGCTCATTGTCTTCGGTATTTAGAAGCCCCGGGTCGCGGGCAATTGATGGACGCAGAACTGCCGGCTTTCTGAAGCAATAATATTTAGTGACGAGACCTCCGATAGAGACTTCGGGGAGTGAACAACTACCCCTTCTTCATTTCAGTACCTCAGGACGCTGACTAGGCCGTCACTGGGTATCTCTGCAAGCCTGTGCAGAGTCGATAGAATAATAGCCTTGACTTGTATTATTAACGCTTCAAAGCAGGAGAAAAAAGACCAATTTGTGGCCATTCCGGCGTGTTCTTATAGATATGGAAGTCCATGATCTTGACCCTAACTGTGATATGCATGTTGGAGAAAATGTTGTCATCGTAAGATAGAGAATGCCGAAGTTTTGATGCTAGTAGAAATGGATTTGCCCAAGCAGAGGCCGTCAATGCCATATTTATTAAAAGTCTGACTGATGCTGTTTGAGATGGTGACCCGATTTGGGCTGTGATTCATTCGACCATGGTTGACCCAAACAGCTAGACTTCGAAAATGGCGAAGCCAAGCGTTGAAATGCAGGAGGGGCTACCACGCAAAGTGAACCGTGCTGATATCGCTGATATTTCCATCACAGGTTTTTTCGAAGCTCACGTTGCCGGTATCGCAGGGGTATTTGGTGGGAAAGGAGTGTATATGGGCGCGGTTCGTCCTGAAGTCGGCCAAAGCTTAAAGTAATGTGTTTCTCATGTCAGTAGGAGAAGCCAAACGTTGGTCATTGTGAAGACGCCTCGAAGTTTACAAGCATCATCAGGGCTGTGTTTTGATTTCTCCCTACATGGGGTTCAACACACCCAACGGCGGCGGCAAAGATTTTGGGTCGGCAAATGACGATTTCAAACGGCAACCGTCGCTAATACCCAGCATTGAAACTACTAGGCGCGTCGATCTTGAGCTTTCAATGTTGCGTCCCGAAAAATAGAATCCGAGAAGCTAAAATTTCCACCTAGCTGTAATAAGCCTAGCCAGATAGACCAAGGCCTAGCTCAAACCTGGGCAGTTTCATAGCCGCATGAATCCCATCTCGGCAATTGAATCATGCTCTAGCTAATTGATTGATGGGTGGTTCTCCCGGTCCGGCTAGTGAATAGCTAGCCTTTCTTGTTGTCTAGATTTCTGTTGACAAGTGCCGTGAACGAGTAGATGATATACAACGAAGGGCAATGTAGGCTAGCTTATTCATCTGGAATATTTTATAATTGAAGAATGGTGTGTGACTAGCCCTTCGTCAGACCAGAGACAGACCATAGAGGTGCGTCTGCCGCAACTGACCTTCCTTGTTAAGACTCTCCACTCCCCGAGCTATTTCCTTTTGTAACTTCCAAATGCGGATGCTAGATGCAGTACGGCATTTAGTAGCTACATCAATGCCATGAAGCGATAATTGTACGATCCGTCGGATTGCCATCTGCCTAAAGAAGCTTCTCTGCATGTCACATCCCGCTCGGCCATGAGTCTCCCAACTCTTTGTATGCTTCGGATTCTTGGTCTGGACATTTGAGCAATGACTTTATGCAATGTTGGGAGCGGCTACGGCATTGCATGAATTGTCATGCCTCGAAGTGGCTACCCTTGCTTTGATGATGCCTCGTATTTGTTATTGAGGCAGTGCCTTGAGAATGTACGACATCAAGTTCATCTCTCTTGCCATCAATAACACTGTTGAAGATTCATGCAAAGGCTTTTTGGCTAGAATCTACCATGTGCGTGTGAGTGTACGGACAGGAACGGCTATAAATACAGCAAGTCGTCCTCATAAATCATTGCCTTCTTATCCATCAACACCGACTCCTCTCCATTGCTTTCTTCTACATTTCCCTTGTACGGCTCTATCACTAGCAATCCACCCACAACTCCTAAAGTCTTCAAAATGGTTCGCAATATTGCTGTTATACTGGCCGTCGCGTCTTCGGCTATTTTAGCAGGGGCTGCAAGTATCGACAAGAGGATTGTCAAGGGAGAAAATGCCAAAGAGGGCGATTTTCCCTTCATGGTGAGCGTATGGTCGGACAGAGGCCAATGCGGAGGTGTCTTGCTGGACAACACTACGGTTCTCACTGCTGCCCATTGCCTCCCAAGAAAAGGCAATAAGACGAGCTTCAGGGTCGGCACGCTGGTAAATATATAATCCCTTTTCATTTAGTTGTCACATCGTCTGGCACCTTGGGCGGCTGAAGAGATCTTGATAAGCACAAAGCTAATGATTATACAGGACAGACTGTCCGGGGGGGTAGAGATAAAAGTCAAAACGTATAAGAGACACCCTGATTACCGCAGAACTAGCGGGCCTATCGGTGAAACTAAAGGCGAATATCCCAAGAGCGACATTGCCATCCTAAAACTAGCAACTCCGGTTGAGGAGAGTGACAAGATTGGCTATGCGAAGCTTCCGGCAAATGGTTCGGACCCTGCGCCCAACACTGTCGCACTCGCCGCAGGCTGGTAAGTGATATCAGGTTAAGAAATGCAGTATACACTGGGTCAAGATGCTAACTATTGGCAAGGGGCGTGCAAACTGTCAAAATGTTGCAAGGCCTCAAGGTAGCTGATAAACTTGCCAAGGTTGCCGTTACTGTTCACGCCCGAGACAAGTGTTTGAGAGATAACTGGGATCCAACTGGTATCGACCAAATCATATGCGCTGGTGGAGACGATGGCAAAGATACATGCAGAGGGGATAGCGGTGGTCCTCTTATCGACCAGGCCACGGGTGAGTTGATCGGCATCACAGCGATGAGTTTGGATGATTGTTTCAAAGGCTCCCCAGGGCTGTATACCAGTGTCAGCCATTTCCTCCCCTATATTGAGGAAAATCTTGGGGGCTTCTGATACGGGGGTTGATCTTTTGAACCGGGCTCTACACAAGTCCCGACACGTTCATGGCACCGACATGCATTGATGTCAGTCGGTGCATGCAGTTTGTCTTTCTTTCTGTATTGGCTAGTTGATTGGAAATCCACGCTCTTCTCTTATTTGAGCTCTTGTGTTGTTTTCGTGAAGCCTTTCGACGTTGGAACACGGGAGGAGATGCGCCGAACTTGACCCACTTGCAACGTCGTGGCAGCCATCAAGTGTCACGTGATGACGGCACCTGGGGGAAATGTAACTACTCCGAACCAACCCCTTCCAAATGCTCATTATGGCTACGGAAACCCTCCGCAAAGGAGAACGAAGTCAACATGTGCGGAAGACTTAGAGACTTAGTAACAAAGAGATCTATGTAGCTTTATACCCGATAACAATAATTACTAACCCAAGCATTGCTATATCCCTTCTCAACGGAATACGCTAAAAATAGGCACGCTACCATTGTTAAGCATCTCTATTATGGTGCTAATACTGAGTCAAGTGAAAGTAAAGAAAGACGGACATCGTGTAGGGAAGATATCTAGGGAGTCGGGACTTGATAACCTACACCAACTACAAACCAACTTGACCGACTCCGAACTGTCGCCTCACCAGAGCCCGGACGTAGGGTGTAAAAGGTCTACGGGTACCCGTGTGGGTTGCTTACCCGTAAGCTTTAAGTAAGTATAGGTAAGAAGAAAAGACTTAAATAAATTTATAAGAGAAAATAAAATACTTATAATTATTTATTAAAAATATTAAGTGTTTTTAGGTACTTAAATAAAACCTATATAACTTACTTTATACTTTAAACTTAAGACTTATTATAAATATAATTAAAT